CCATATAGAGGAGTCTTTGCTTTCGGAAAAGATTCCAACTGACCCGCCTTTCTAAAGACCGTTGGATATCAAGCCGGACGACTTAGAGTGAGGAGGGGATAATGGGCGGGATATTCGTTCCTTGGCACATTTCTTGAGCCTTGCTGCCTGAGCTCTTGATTCAGTGATGTTTTGCAAATGCAAACAGAGCTAGGCCTAGGGCAGCCATGGCAACAGGAGATGTTGAAGGAAACCTAGAGCGACTGAAGGCGCAGCTCCGATCTGTTTCCTACCCACACGCAATCGACAACCAAGGGTACGGTCATATTACAAGATGATTTGGAGTCTCATGCTTTTGTTGCAGCCTGAGAATGGGACTTCCATCGGCTGTTCTTCCACTACTCCATCACGCGCTGTTAGGTTATTCCAGGCATGTTTTCAGGTATCTCTCAACGAATGGCTATGAATTATACGCGAAAAGTGACCTGGTGCGACCAAGCAAAAGCTAGAGATAGTACACTACTAATTTTTGCTAACAGAGATTCATAGAGTGCATCTTGAAGTTTCTCCGGACTGAGTTTGGATATAGATGTTCCTTGACGCTGGCACAGGTAACAATGACATGGACATCAAGACGCACCTGACCTCTTCACTGCTAGATATTCTCGAAAGGTTTCTCAGAAAGAAAGATGATATTTGTCCATGATGTCGTCCAGGTTTGTTAAACTCCTTGTGACGCTTATCTTGAATAGAATATGAGCAGTGCTGCAAAAGGAAGCATAATGAGTTGTTAAAAGAGTCCCGACGGGCAGGTGTAACTAAAAAGGTATCTTATGCATTATCAATTGTCACTATTCTCTTGTATTAGTCAGAATCTGTCATGTCCTCGAGGCATAAAAGGATCTCCAGAAATGAAGAGGTCAACGAGGTGTTTCTGTTTTCTTTTCTTTACTTTATCAGTCCTATTCACGTTTTGGCTCCAGGAACGCAAAAGTCCGTCTCTTAGAATCAAGACCACCTCATCTCCAAGATGCAAGAATAAATTGCCGTCTATAAGTAAAATGTGTAAGCTCGCCATCGAGGTATGTTTTCACTCTCAAGAGTTTCTCCCTATCTCCTGCATGTGACAGCTCTCTCCGACACCTCGCCTAACTTTCGAGCAGCCAGGCATACAGGCCGACCACGACGAGGTTAATAACAAATTAGGTGTCTAAACTGCGAAGCTATTTACATCATGTGCAGATGGAAGACAGGTCGAGCCCGTGTTACATACCTGATAACGAAAAACAAGCAGAAGCTGATTTTCAGGTCAAATCACCAACACAGGTAAACGAAATATTAAGGTATATTAAGGATTTACTTTGTCTAAAAATGCTAGATTGGAGGTATCGACTCGAGTCTTCCAAGAGAGCTCGATCGCGGAATAAGGAAAAGTCCAGATGCATCTCTTCCAAGAACGATGGACACCCATAAGTCCCTGAGTTCAGAAATGACTTCGAGAAAGTGTTCTATTTCTCCATCAACGTCGGAAGATGATGAAGCAGCCCCGGTGGTTTCAAAGAATGTTGCAGCCATTACTTCCTGCTATGACGAGATCAAGCTGAAAATAGTAAGTTTGATCAACGCGAGCATTTCTTTGTGCTCAACCAAGCGTCTACCAGGGCGAAATAGCCGAGAAGCTGGGGTCTCGCTTCAGCACCCTGGAAGAAAGCCTTTCAAAGACGACTCAAACATTAGAGGTAATAGAAAAGTTCAGTTGCTGTTACTAACTCCATTTACTATCACAGGCAAGATTTTGTACTTTGGAGAGCCGTATAAGACTTCTTGAGAAATCCTTTTTTCCAAAGGTAAGCCCCATATCGTATCTGCCTGAAGTTATATTATTTTACAGGCCCGTCAGAGCCCGGAGAAAAATATACAGTTCTGCAAAAAGCATTCACCACGTTTTCGTATGTTATTTTTAAGGTTTTCATTCACCCTCTCCTGTTCTATTGGCAGAATTTGAGTTGCGGTCTGGTAGAAAGGTTGACGAGCCTATCCGGGACATAAGCAATATGAACTTACGTAAGCCTTCATCTGCATTTGTACGTGGAATTAGACATCACATACTCAATCAATATCTGTTCAGGTCACCACTCTGATGTGCATCCCAGCCATCGAGTAAGCTGCATTGACATTTTTGTCTTTCACCACAACATGTGATTACAGGCTAACTTGACGACACAACAACTAATTGATAGTATCAAAGCCCGTTGTCAAAAGACAAAGGAGGTAACTTTAATGTTTATGTTTTCATGAAAAGGTCTTTCACTGCGTTGCAGCTTTTGAGCGGAATTTATTAAGAGGCTAGCCATAACAAGCAAATGCATCATTCGAACTCACATTGGTCGACCAAGAGGGTGAGGATTTCCAGAGAGAAACTGGTAATTTAACACCAGGGATGGTTGTTTTAAAGGGAATGGAGGGCCCAACGAAACTCACTAAACGAAAAGATTAAATTAGTTTATTTTTTAAAAAGGAATTTAAGGAAATAGACTTTGTAGGTGTAATACTTACGAATACTTCGGAATGCTTTATGCGGATGTTTCCTGATTATAAGATGCATTACTAGCAACGTCCTTGTACGTCTTGGCAAAAGACTACACAGATTCTGGCTTGATCTATCGGTTCTCACTATGATGGTCATCCCTCTCAAGTAAAGTTGAGCCTGACATTAGTGTTGCTTCAATCCCCAAGATAGGATCTTATAAGTATTGACGTTATGGTAATTTATATTTGCTCTCGAGATATATTTCTTACACTAGATGGTGTCAATTATTGATGGTAACCTCTCTGTAAAAATTAGAAGGCCTGTACTTCAAAGCTGACTGTGGCATGTAAGTTTCAGAGAGCTTTACATGTATCATCTTGCCCTCATTGCTTTATAAGAACCCCACCAGAAGGGCATATTATGCAGACAACAATCTACAATCATACTTAATTCAACATTTGTACGATGAGAAGTGCCATTCTACCTAGTGCTAATGAGCTTTGTGCAACGCTGAGCCAGTCTTGCGGGGTCTTTCCTTAGCTTTCCAAATCTGGAAAAAAAAAAAAGTTCATTCTTAAGAGGGAAGCAAGATATATTAACACACCTGAACTATAATGGTGCTTGGCAGGAAGCCGCAGTAGAATGTGGTATCATGGAATGTCATCAGTGGACTGAAGAGATGAAGGGGTGTTTGATGCGATGCCAGAGCGAGACATTGCATGCAATATTAGACTAGCTTGGATTCAGGCGCATGGAGCTGATGGGAACTTGAACGACCTACAGCAGAATGCCACAGCAGGATGTGGTAGCTTGCATCCCTATATATGGTCACAGCCTACATCATCATGATAACACTGGAGCAGTGAAAGAGCTCCTGCTCAATTGGTAAGCATTGAGTTTTTCAAAGGGATTGATTGTGGTTTAATGCAGAGAACAAGAATGGGAGTTGTCAATTTATGATCGGTGCACCTTCTGCTGGACACGGACGACCATTCCACCTTGGTGTCTCCTGATGGTATGTGTGTGGCAATAGATCCGAATGTACAGGTTTCCTGCGTGCTTGGGTTCAACACGTACAATGAGGGAGAAATCAGCTAACTCTTGCAGGTTCTTTTCTTTTTATTCCCAATAATCAATTTGAAGCCAAGAGTCGTCCCACTTACACACTCATGGGGGAGTGCTTCGTTTCTTTCTATGGCTCATTTTCGCTGTAGGGCTCTTTGCTTCACCCAGTGAGTCGATTAACACCACCATAGCAGCAAGACAAGATGATGGAGTGCATCTCCATCCACATTGGCCAAGCAGGGGTCCAATGCTTGCTGGGAGCTCTACTCCCTGGAGCATGGAATCCAGCTACTTAAAATACTCCCTGCTTGTTTTGAGCGAGCCCTGCTGTGCTCAGCCAGATGGCCAAATGCCGACTGACAGAATTAGCGGACGTGACGACGCCTTCAACACTTTCTTCAGCGAGACAGGTGCGGGCAAGCACGTACCGCGCTCGTTGTTCCTCGACTTGGAACCCACGGTGATAGAAGTGAGGACTGGTACATACAGTCAACTCTTCCACCCCGAGCAACTTATCAGTGGCAAGGAAGATGCCGCTAGTAATTTCGCCCGTGGCCATTAGTCAAGTGAGTGCCCGACAACAAGGCCATCGTCGATAACGTGTGTCGGACCGTGTAACGGAGATCGTCGACCTGTGCCTGGACCGAAATTCGGACCGTATCAGGAAGCTTGCAGACAATTGAAGGCTTTCTTATCTTCAACGCCGTGGGGCTCCGGAGCGCCTCTCGGTTGACTACGGCAAGAAGTCGAAGCTTGGCTTTACGGTCTAGCCGTCGCCTCTAGTGTCCACGGCTGTTGTTGTGGAGCCCTACAACAGCGTGCCCTCCACCCATTCCCTGCTGGAGCACACCGACGTTGGCCATCTACGACAGCTGCGGCATCACCTACACCAACCTCAACAGGCTCGTGCCACAGGTATGCTTGTTTGTGTGCGTGTGTGCGTGTGACGATCAGGTGATATCGTCCCTGACGACGTTGCTCCGCTTCGATGGTGCCCGACATTACAGAGTTCCAGACCAACTTGGTGCCTTATCCCCGGATTCATCCTCGTACGCTCCAGTCATATCCGCAGAAAAGGCTTACGACGAGCAGCTGTCCGTGTCCGAGATAACGAGTACGGCGTTCGAGCCCGCGTCCATGATGGCCAAGTGCGCCCCGTCACGGCAAGTACATGGCCTGCTGCCTCATGTACCGATGTGACGTGGTCCCTAAGAACTACCATCAAGACCCATCAGGTCGTTGATTGGTGTCCCACAGGCGTCAAGTCTGGCATCAACTACCAGCCACTAACAGTTGTTCCCGGGGGCGAGTCCAAAGAGCCGTCTGCATGATGTCTAACGCAGTAGTCTTCTCCAGAATTGATCACAAGTTTGATCTCATGTACGCCAAGCGCGCCTACGTCGGGGAAGGCATGGAAGAGGGAGAATTCTCTGAAGCCCGGCAGGACCTTGCGGCACTCACGAAGAAGTTGGTGCAGAGTCCATTGAAGGGGAAGGCGAGGAGGAAGGAGAGGATTGAACAACAGAACGCAGGCGCTGTAATTTTGACGACACGGATAAAAGATGCATTCACCGCCTGTATATCTGTGTCTCTGCGTCGTGTGTGTGAAAACCTGCGGGTGGGAGAACATGGCATGGAACAGGTCTCACAGGAGATTTGTATCCTGGGCACAGTAACTCGTCAAGTTTGCTCTAGTTATATAGCCGTTTACCCCTGCAATCCGGATCATGACATTTTTGATAGTAGCTTGCTCGTCGTAAGTTGATGATGTACATGACTGCATAGTGGTTGACGCGTCAACAAAAGAAAGAACAAGACACACAATCATACCGTTGTTGCTCTTGTGCTGCCTTCCCACTCGCTCGCAGAAACGGTTGCCCGAAATATTATAGACAATAATGCCGAGCTCCGAAAACCAAAACCAGTTTCGAATCTTTCCTGCGTTGCATCAGACAGGAACGCACGAGTAGGATATACGCACCCGGAGTGTTTCCAAAGGATGAAATTGATTCCACAAACGCATCAACTGCACCAAATGGCGATGCTTCGGAAGCGACGCTCTGTTGAGGCTGGATATTGGAGAGCGACTTTGGGTGTTCGCCAGCAGCCTTCAGCGGATAATTAACAACAAATGTGAAGGATATACTAGGCCTACCCCGCGGTCAAATGTGAGAAGTGTCTCGCAATTCGCATCCACGTTGCAAACGAGCGCTTGCATGAACGTTGTAATATCGTCCTGCAACGGCTTTGTATGAAGTCAAGCCTCCAGGGAGGAGCAGCGGGGACTGACCATGACCACTTCGGAGCCGGAGGCGAATCTGTACGTCGGGACCAGGATAGCCGTCTTTCCAGCCTTGGCAGAGAAGACGAGGCGGAAGCAACGGTTACGCGAGTAGACAGCCTGATCGACAAACAGCCTGGAGGTGGAAGAATGATCGGTGATGACATAAAGCTCCTCCAGGTGCTTGTCACGCCCGCGAAGCACATGTATCCGCGAGCACAGCTGCAGCAAAACATTATCCCAACATGGAAAAGAGAACAGGGTCACCTACATGCGCAACAAACGCCCCTGCATGCGAGTTGTCCTTGAAGGCGGTGTTGGGGATGCGCAAGATGAGGTGCCGAGAGAACTTGTCTATAAAGCCATTATAGGAAGGAATCCTTGTGTCTGCTAAGACTAGTATTACCTGCGGTTGACGAGTCGAGCTCCAGTGTCCAGGCCACGTTGTAGCGGATCGAGAAAGCCTCGTAGAGCGTGGAGGCGAGCAGTTGCAGCAGGAGGTCGACCATGGCATCGCCATCCGCGCCCTGGTTGGTGTGCCGGTTGAACTCCAGATCGAAGTAGAGATTGCACGGGGTATTCTATGCATGCGCAGCAATGTGCATCCAGCCCACCTACAGCTCGGGCAGCAATCTTACCTCGCGTATAATTTCATAGTGGTGCCTCAAGCTGCCGTGCATCTTCTCGTATCTGCGGTGCACGATGCGTTAGAATCATGAGGTCCGGGGGAGGAGGCCCACCTCCTCCAGAACTCGAGGTGAGAGGTAACAAGGAATCGCCTTTGGCCCGTTGTGTGGTCTTGGTACGTGAAGACGGCGAGGCCATGGCGGTGACAGTCGGCGTATTGAAGGGCCTGCTCTTGCCTCGCGAACGTGGCCCAAGCATCCCTGTTCCAGCTTCCAAAGCACTCTTCACTCGAACAGCCAAAGCACAACATTCAACTAACCCGGCCGCGATGGGTGTGGATTCTTGGCCAAGATCGCTGCGGATGTCGCGTAGCAAGTGCAAGAGCCGAGGGGGCTGTTGATGACCGCCTCCTCGGGGCGCTCCATAGAAAATGCCCGCTGCTATCTCCCTTGGGCGCTGCTCGTTTCTTGGACATGCCATGCCGCACTTGAAAGGGGATCCCAGAAATTGGGAAGCTATATATTTACTAGGCTTGTTTTGTCGGCCCAGTTACCTCAGCAAGCACAAGAAGCAAGCAGGGCCGGCGCCTGCCTTTTCAAACCACCGTCCTGGTCACGAATGACACACCAGACGGCTTGCCACCTTCCTCCTCAAACAACACCACCAAGTTTCCGCTGTCTTGGAGCCAGCTGCGTGGAACATGGTACCTAGAGGTAGAGACGTTAGGTAATCTTGTACAAGGTCCACAGCTCACCATCGCTGAGAAGGTTGGCCACAGCCACTCCTGCACTTGGAAGAGGAATAGCTGCCGCGATAGTCACACGTTTGAGGGCATCCGGCAGTGTCTGGTGCACGCAAGGATGGCCAAAAGCGCCCAATACTCTGCCCGTTGATCCATGCCTGGCCCTTCCCCATGCTTTCCAAGTCCAAAGCCACCGGATCGTTGCCGCTGGGGCTGTCAAAGTGCGCCTGCATTGCAATCCACACGATACATGTGATACCATGGTGTTGGAAGATTACCTTGTACCACACTAATGCCTGCCCTTGAGGAACTGCCGACGACCACCTCACTCTCTGAGATCCGCTCTCCGTGAAGATGGCCAAGCTTTCCCCCTTGAGGCCTACCTGCGTCCACACAGAATAACAAAAGGCTCATTGTGGTGAGCGAACCTGGTGTATCCATTCTTCAGCAGTGAGATCTATTTGACCCGAGGGAAGGCCCTTGACTATGACCGAGCCGTTGATGCCGGCACCCCATGTCTCGATAAATGGACCATAGTTCTGCGGAGCGAAGTAAGAAAGCCGCACACACTTGCGGTGGTCAGATAGACAACCTGTAGGCCAACCGTAGCGCAAAGAATCGCCAGGGAGTTGTGCCCCGAGGCTAGCTCGATAGGCTGTTCCACAGCGGCATACAGTTGGGTTCCCTTTGTGCTTGCGCTGCCTGAATCATGCCATATAAGTGTTTAGAGCGGGAAATCTAGAAAGCCAGCTACCTGCTAGTTTTCCGTTGACAAAGACATGAACAACGTCTCTCATGCTTTCAAGAGAAAGAAGTGCTTTTCCAGACGCGGCATCTGCTTGAGAGATATCCAGGCTGCCCAGAGGGTGTAAGCAAAGCTCCAGGTAGCCGGAGAAAAGTCAAAATCCACCTTGTGGTGTACCAGAGGTAGTCGCTTGTATCCTTGGTTGTGTTGATTTGTTCGAGCAATGCCGATGCCACAATACCACTGTCGCTCCACACTCCGACTGGTTCAGGATAGGATTCCCAGGCCAACCCCGTGATGGAGGGCTTCATTGTTGGCATGGCTGTTTGAACGTGCACCTTCGGATAGAAATGTTTCATCGTCAGCATGAGAAGAAGGGAGAGAGAGTGAGAGACCTTAGCGGTGTTGTGGCTGACTGTTTTGCAGTCGGGGAGAATACTGACAGACCAGGCGGGTAGAAGATACGTCCGAGAGTTGAACTTCACGGTGGCATCGGAGCTGGAATCAATGTTTGCCAGAAAAGCTGCACAAGCTCCGGATGACGTGCTCCCGTAGACATGGGCCTGCAAGAGGGTGAAGACCAGGTTTAGAAGCCCGTGTTTACCTCTTGCAGTTGGCCCAGGGAAATGTAGGTGGGATCGTTGGAGCCAAGCGCGGCTTCGCAGAGCTTGATTGCAGCGTGCAGCTGCTTCAAATGGCCCCATTTGGGCTGGCGAATTACTCCTGCACGTTACCCGCGTTAGCATGGTATACTACGCCACACAACCCTTATACCAAACTCATCAATGGGTGCGTCGTAATCGTAGCTGGTCGTAACGTATGGGCCTCCGGATGATCGCCCGAAATTGGTGCCGCCAAAGTACTGCAAGGTTTCCAGACGAGCTTTAGCACATTGCAAGGAAGAGCCCAACCCCCAACCATGTAGTAGTTTTGGAAGCTTCCCCCGCGCTGGAAGAAACGGGCTACAGCGAAGGCAACGTCTTCCACGGGCCTGTGCGGGGATGCCTCTCCCCATTTCTGGAACCTGTGGGTGATCCAAGACATAACCAAGGGGCATTCAACCTTCCTCAAACGTGGCTCACCAGCCGCTCCAATTCTCGGTCCACATTTTGGGTTTCTTCTTGTTGTTGGGAGCCCAGGCATCGCAGTAGAAGCCGTTGCAAGTGTCTAGCTGCAGGAGCGAAAGGGTGTCATGAAAGTGTTATATAATCAAAAGCTCACGATGTAGTCTGGTGCGTCCGACTGCTGGCACATGATCCAGGGCACACCCGTGCCGAGACCCTGGGCCATGTTTGCGGCCCACTCCATGTACTCCTTTCCGGCCGCTCCATATGCCGCGTCGATGTTGCCATACTCGTTCTCAATCTGTGCTGCTTTTCTTTGCCCACAATCAAGAAATGCAAGAGTACCTGAGCCAGTATGATTGGTCCACCCTGAGGCGCGAAAAGCTTGTCATGTTTCATCATCGCCACGATCTTCTCCACGAACGCTTGCATCTCCGCCTGAAGAGTTGACAAACTTGGTGCCGGGGGCGGATGCAATCTTGAGCAACGAGCGCGTGAATCATACCTTGAACGGCTGGTTGTTTGTTCTGAATTCAATTCCTGGCACGTCCTTGAGCCACACGGGGAAGCCCCTGATGAAAACCAAGGAATGTTGTTGCATGCAACGAAGGAGAGAGATTCTCACCCGAGGTTCCATTCCGCGCACACGTAAGGCCCAATCCGGAGATTGGCATATAGGCCCGCCTCGTGGACCAACTTGACAAACGAAACCAGGTCGAATCGCCCCTCGAAGTTGTACTGGAGGGAATGGAGCAAGAATCAAGTCTGTACAAGCGCCCGGGGAAGAGCTTACAGTGTCCCTGGTGGGCTGATGCCCGTCCCAGAAGACGTACGTTTCGATCACGTCAATTCCACCGGCTTTGGCATTGGAGATGAGCTGGCTCCACATCTGCAGATGAACTCAGAGGTTGCGTAGAGAATCGGAGATGGGTGGCTATACCTGAGGAGCTGCGCGAGGGTAGTGGATGGATGCCGAGATGAGCATCCGGTGCTGGCCATTGATGATAAGGCCCCTGTGATCATAGGCCACGGTGTCGGAGAGGCCGACATGGAGGAGCGTGGCGGCGAGGAGGAGGAGGAGGAGGAGGAGCGGCGGCATTTCTGGCTGGAGCGATTGCTGGTGGCGGCCAGGTCGGCCAATGGATCGGTCTCTAGTGCGCTGTCCTTTTCTGGGTAGGAAGCAAGCGCTGCCATCCCATTCCCATCCAAGTTTCATAGCATATAATGACCATCCTCACCGTCCACGTGGTAGTGGGGAATGGAATATCCCAGGTTGGCTGGGCTAGGGCGCTGGCGATGCGCAGGAGGAGGAGGAGGAGGAGGGAGGGCGGCCAAGGCGGGAATGATGATGTCGCGTGGAGGTCACGTAGCTTGGTGCGCAAGGGTGAGCCACAATGCAACAGTGTGAATGGTGAATGGTAGGGCGCACCTGCATTGCGTCCTAGCGTGCCTCTAGGTAGATCGCCATGGCAGCTCCCGGTCGCGGGCAGCGGTTCAAGAGGATGAGCCGGGGAGTGGCGTTCCCGTCAAGCGCCTTGGAGCTGGATCCACAGGTTTGTTCATCCTGGGGAGCTTATTGTTGATTGCTGGTGTTGGCTGCAGCAGCTGCAAGCAGATGCGGAGCACTGCCCCCATCTCAAGCTTGTCTTGCAATCCTACAGCTCGGCCTGGCTCACGGATGACGCCAAGTACGGCCACTACCAAAGCGTCTCGCGGCCTGCCTTTCACAATCAGATTTTCGAGGGACCCGACACCGATGTAGAAACCGGTAAGAGCTCTCTGCCTGCCCACTGCCTCGTTCCCCCGCACTCACACTCTTTTGTTGATGCGCCTTTCCCTTGCAAGAGTTACACCTCTCCAACCTGCGCCAGGGCCCAAGCGCGTGTGACAGCGAAGAGGCCACCAATACTCCCGGGCGTACAAAGAAGCTGAAGGTGCAGTCCTCACTTTCTCGGTGGTGGAAGGAATAAATCCCCCCCTCCCCTCTCTTTGTGCAGCAGCATCTCGGCCCCTCCCCTCTTCATGCTTACGAGCCTGCATTCAACTGGGAATCCGAGAGAGGCGCTATAAGTGGCCAGCGACTGCCGGAACCCCCTCCAGCTTCTCTTGGCAGGTTGTGGTGTTTCTCTGCATTTACGCTACTTACCTGTCTGTCTTCTTTGCTGTTTGCGACAGTGGTCTCAAGGTTGCCGTCAAGGTCTTACAACTCAAGCTTCAAGCAGGTTTCGTGGGTACGTTGGATCCGCTTTCGCAGCTGCAAATTTGCCTCACGCCTGCCTGTCCGCTGCAGAGCCAATCTATGGGAGCCTCAGCCTCTATCATCGAGAAAGGCGGGAAAAACTGTCTGAAGATTTTTATTTCGAGTTCCTTCCTGGCGAATTTTGCGAGGTTTGTGATGCGCGCATACTCCGCACCTAGTCTCACATTCTCATTCAGGGAACGGTGGCTATCCAAAGGCGTGCCATCTTTTCGGTGGATGCTCCTTCGGCATCCATTTGTATGCTTGTGCAGCTCGAGAAGCATGCAACTGAGGAAGGTGGCGTAAAATCCTCTGTGTATTCGCGTAAGGAGCCTGTACGTTTTTCTTTACTTGATCAGCTCTGACCGTGAAGCTAACCGCTGCCTTCAGGCTCATTTGACGGAAAGAGAGAAGCAAAGGCTCCAAGTATGGGCTCGAATAATGCCATTCAAAGAGCCGTTCGCTTGGGCCACCGTCCCGTTGTTTGACTTGAGTGTAACTGGGGCAATGACAGGTATCTCTTCTCCAAGCAGTCCCCTCTCTGGAGCAGACGCGGTTGGGGAAGCGGGGAAGCGTCTTGGCCACCCCATCATGCTAGACGTTCCGGGCCTTAATCGTGTAAAGGAATGCTACAATGAAGACTGGCTTCAGGTTTGTAAAGGATCATTGCTGCCCGGCGCTCTGAGTCGTATGTTGCAGGATCCGAAGAAGAAAGCTCATAAACCTATCAAAGCTACGTTGCGCTTTGAAGTCGAGCGCCTTGCCCCCGAGGATCTAGATCCAGACGCAGCATCAGTATGTAGCAGTCCTGACAACCAGGATAGTCAGGTCGGCGATGCAGATGGAAGGAGCAGTGATGCGGATTTGGACAACAGAAAGAGACGGGTTGGGAACGTTGAGGTGAAGCAGCGATTGCTGCCTGCAGATGTAAGTGATGTGCTGTGGTGACGCGTTGTTCCTAACAATTTTAATCTTTCCCAGCATCCTCTTATGGAGTTTCGGCATTTTACAAAGAGTGAGCCTTTTACGCAGTCGATACACTGCCTTTACGTGTACCCGCTGTCTGTAACGTTTAGTAAGAAGAGGAATCTCTTCATCAGGGTGGAGGTCCGAAAGGATGACATTGATCTCCAGACGCCTGCAATGGAGGTATGTCTTGTATTTGTGAGCCAGATGCTTAGTTCTTCTTACACCAGGCTATTTACCCCCGTGACGCTGAATCCGGCATGCGAGAGTGGGCATATTCTCAAATTGCTGTGGCTTCTCGAACGGCATATTACCATGACGAATTTAAAATGAATTTGCCGGCGGTACTAACGGCACAACATCACATTCTTTTTACTTTATTCCACGTGGATCTTAATATGAAACTCGAGGCTCCAAAACCAGTACGCTGTTTTCCTTCCTCTAACATCATGTCTCTCACTTTTGGTATTGTTGCAGGTAGTCGTCGGCTACGCTATCCTGCCCCTCTTAGCTGGTGCTCAGTACGTGTGTTGAAAATTTGAAACTTATTCTTGATTGTCTCTTCGACAGAAGCATGCGCTTTTCTGATGCCAGCCTTCCGATCCTAAAGGATCTTGTTCCGCATTATCTTCAAGACTCTGTAAAGGTACTGTCGCAAATAGCTCACTGGTATCATATTGTTATTTCTTCAGGACAAAATTGAGCATTTGGAAGATGGGAGGGCATTGCTGAGGCTGCGCTTGCGTCTTTGTTCCTCATTATATTCAGTAAACGAGCGCATTAGGGACTTCACTATAGAATTTGATCGCCACATTTTAAGGGCCAATGCTCCCTGGGGTTCCGAGCTTTTGGAGGTTTGTGTTTGTTCGCCAATTTTATTGAAGAGTCCTAACACATATATGAATACCAGCCAATCAACAGTCTGAAGAATGTGGATTCAACGTCCATGCTACAATTTTTGCAACCTTTGATGAATATGTTGTTGCATCTGATCAGTGACAGCGGGGAAACCCTTCAGGTTAATGATGTGGAGTTCTATATTTGTGCTATAAATACGTTTTTGCTGGTGCCAGGTTGCTGCATTTCGTGCCATGGTGAATATACTTACAAGGTCTGTTTTCTTTTCTTTTCTTTTCAAAAAATGGAATGTATCGCTCAGTTTTGAAACTTTTCAGGGTGCAACAAGAATCGTCTGACGGGGCCGAACGAAACCGCTATCTTGTTCAATTTATTGACTACGCTTTTGATGATTTCGGTGGGCGTCGGCCTCCTGTTTACCCTGGATTGTGTAATGTTTGGAGGGGCTTGGCTAGAAGCAAGGTAGCAGTATCGGAACTTCGTTAGCTTGTCATGAAATAGTTTTCTTGCAGGCAAAAGGCTACCGAGTTGGACCTGTATATGATGACGTGCTGTCAATGGCTTGGGTGTTCTTCGAACTGATCGTTAGATCTATGGCTTTAGAACAAGCTAGACTTTTCCCGGAAAACCTTCCTACTGGTCAGATTTTTCTGAACCACCTTTCTTACCGATATTAACTTGCCTTGCAGACGAGGATGCTCCACCTTTGCAACTAACGGATGAAGTTTTTCGCTGCGTGTCAAATTTGTACGATTGCTTGCTTACGGAAGTTCACGATCGATCCAAAAAGGGCCTCAGCCTAGCCAGAAGGTTGAACAGCAGTCTGGCATTCTTTTGCTATGATTTACTTTCCGTTGTTGATCCCCGACAAGTGTTTGAGCTTGTAAGTTGCTTTGGTTACTTTTGCGTTTGCTAATCGATGCCTTCCTTTTTATTGTAGATTGCTCTGTACTTTGACAAGTTTACGGGTGTTTGCCAATCTTCTTTGCACGAGTGTAAGTTGACTTTCTTACAAGTCATCTGCGACCACGATCTTTTTATTGAAATGCCAGGAAGAGACCCTTCTGAAAGGTACGGATATATTCATTCTTACAAGCGTATTTAGTTTGTTGTATTTGCAGAAACTATCTTGCTTCAAGCCTTATGCAAGAACTTTTCCTGACGTGGGATCACGATGATTTATCACAAAGATCGAAGGTAGATTTGAGTTTTCGTATTTGGGAGCTCTAAAGCGTTTCTGTAAAGGCAGCACGCATTTTGGTGGTCCTCACATGCAAGCACGAGCTCGACTGCCGCTACCAGAAGCTCGAGGACAAGCTGTACATATCACAACTATACTTCCAACTTGTTGGCATGGTATGTTCCGATTCAAGCTTTGTAACCTCGTTTTCTGAAGGGCGTGCTTCAGATTCTGGATGAAATGCCAGTGTTTTACAATCTTAATGCGACAGAGAAACGAGAAGTTCTAATTTGCGTTGTACAAATTATCCGACATCTTGATGATATGTCATTGATAAAAGCATGGCAGCAGAGCGTCGCTCGTACGAGACTTTTCTTTAAGCTTATGGAAGAATGTCTCTCCCTCTTTGAGGTAAACTCTTTTTCTACGAAGTTATTTTTCCCATTCTCCGTGCAGCATAGGAAGATGCATGATTCCTTGGGTGGAGCTTTACCAATGCAAACACCGGAAAGCGAAGGTGCATACTCACCCAAATACTCTGATACGCTGTCGCCCGCAGTTCATACTTTTTTTAGCCAAGCTTCTCGACAGGAGCTGAAGGTGAGGTGCTGAATCTCAGGCAAAGCGATAACTAAGACCATCATTTTACAGTGGATGCAGCCTCAGGCAACTCCTGAAAATGGTCACCTGTGGAAAAAGCCAAGTCCTCATTTAAATTCTCCAAGTCAGCCCTACTCTCTACGAGAAGCTTTGGCGCATGCACAGTCTTCTCGAAAAATGGCATCGAACAGAGCTCTTCGCGAGAGCCTGCACCCAATGCTGAGGCAGAAACTCGTAAGAAAATGGATTGATGTTGCTCTCTATATTCAAGCTGAACTGTACAGGAGCTTTGGGAGGAGAACCTTAGCACTTCAGTGAGCCTACAGGTGCTCGAAATAGTGGAGAAATTCATAGACGTTGCGTCTGTGCACAGCATTGCTACTGACTACGTAAAGCTGGATTGTGTCACTGCTATTTTTACGGGATTCTTCTCCCACAGCCAACCTCTTATATTCTGGAAAGCATTCTTTCCTGTCTTCAACAACCTCTTTACACGTCATGGAGCGACGCTAATGGGCAGAGAAAATGATCGTTTCCTGAAGCAGATTGCGTTCCATCTCTTGCACCTTGCCGTGTATCGGAACGACTCGATACGAAAGAGAGCTGTTGTGGGCCTTCAAATTCTTATTCGGGTGAGCTCTGTGTCTGTTTTCTCAGGTGTTTCTAACGTGTTTGATGCCAAGTGCAGAGCTCCTTTTATTACTTTCAAAGTACAGCCAGGTTGCGCGTCATGCTGACAATAACACTCTCAGAACTAATGTCTGAAGTGCAGGTCACCCAGATGAAGCCTGATGGCAGTTTTGAAGAGAGCGGCGAAGCTCGCCGTTTGAAAAGATCACTGCAAGAAATGGCTTCAGAAGAAATAAGTGATGGCCTGTTGAAAGAATGTGGTCTCCCGGCGAATTGTCTAGATGCCGCGGTTGATGGAGATCGTGATAATCTCTGGCGGTGGTCGGAAGTTCGAGAAATGTCTGTGGCCCTGCTGCAAGCTCTGGATGCAAGCATCGAGCACGCTCTCCTGGTACGTGCATATTGCTACTTCGCTGTGTGGTTAACTGGAGTATTGTTTCAGGGGACCATAATGACAACGGACAAGTATGCGGCAGCAGAAAGTTTCCACAGCTTGGCAGTCGCATACGCACATGTGCCTGATTTACACATAATGTGGCTGCTTCACCTTTGTGACGCCCACCAAGAAATGCAGTCGTGGGCCGAAGCTGCGGAGTGTGCTGTAGCCGTAGCGGGCGTGATTATGCAGGTATAGTTTAGCTACAAGGGCTACCGTTGCATGTTCACACTGACGCATGGGTGTCTACAGGCTTTGGTAGCGAGAAACGATTTAGTTTGGGGGCGAGATAATCTGGAGGCGCTCCGCAGGATCTGTCCGATGCTTGCCACCTCAGTGGAGGCATCGGCTGCCGAAGTAGAAGGCTATGGGGCGTCGAAGTTGACGGTGGATTCAGCTGTCAAGTATCTACAGCTTGGCAACAAGCTCTTTGCGCAGGCCGAGCTCTTCCATTTCTGTGCGGCGATTGTGGAACTGGTGATTCCTGTGCACAAGAGCAGGAAAGCCTATGGTCAGCTTGCCAAGTGCCACACATCGCTGACGGCTATTTACGAGTCAATTGTGGAGCAGGAGTCGAGCCCGCTGCCCTTCATCGATGCGACATACTACCGTGTCGGCTTCTACGGGGAACAGTTTGGGAAGCTCAATCGACGGGAGTACGTATACAGGGAAGCCAAAGATGTGCGCCTGGGTGATATCATGGAGAAGCTGGGCCACATCTACGAGCTGGTTCTGGGTGCCGACCAAACGCTGCACATAATACCAGATTCGCGCCAGGTCAAAGCCGACGAACTAGAAAGTGGCGTGTGCTATCTGCAAATAACTTCGGTGGATCCGATATTTGAAGGCGAGGACTTGGAGAGTCGGAAGGAACGAATAGCTGGTCGACCATCGGCTTGCAGCTGTGCTCGTGTGTTCGATCACTTTCTGTTTGATACACCGTTTACCAAGAACGGCAAGTCGCAAGGCGGACTGGAGGACCAGTGGAAGAGGCGGACGGTCGTGCAGACGCACGGCTCATTTCCCGCTCTGGTAAACCGGCTTCTCGTGATCAAATCGGAGTCGAGAGAGTTCTCTCCCATAGAGAATGCCATAGGCATGATCGAAGCGAGGACGGCTACGTTGAGAAATGAACTCGAAGAGCCTCGCAACTCCGAGGGTGACCATCTCCCTCGGCTGCAGAGCTTACAAAGGATCCTTCAGGGCAGCGTTGCAGTACAGGTAAGCGTTGGGGTGGTGTTTTTCTAGTACTGTTGTGCTCATGGCTCCTTGTACTGTCAGGTGAACAGCGGTGTGCTAGGAGTATGCTCGGCTTTCCTTTCTGGAGAGCCAGCGACAAAGCTCCGGTCCCAGGAGCTCCAGCAGCTGATTGCTGCATTGCTAGAGTTTATGGCTGTGTGCAAGCGAGCGATACGCATCCACTCGAGGCTCATCGGGGAGGAAGACCAAGATTTCCATTCGCAGCTGGTGAATGGCTTCCAGTCTCTCACTGCAGAACTGTCACACTATATCCCGGCCATTTTATCAGAGCTGTAATTGGATTATGGTGTAAGTAGTGTACATTATTTTGGAACTTTTTTGTACGAAGTAACTTACAAGAGATAAGTTGTTTAAAGGACCGCCACCTTTTCAAACAGCATAAGCAAATTGCCTGCTGCCCTTTCTGATTTGCATTCATGTGTGGACGTGACATGCACAGACGTGAGATGTAACTAGTAGTATGAATGTCCTAAGCATTGGTAGCCGAGCCCGCCTTGGTCTTTGTTGAGCTCTCCAAAGAAGAAGAGGAGCAGAGATGGAGTGGTGTGCCAAGGCCATCCACGGGCGGCGCCTACTCCTCGTCGTCTTCCTCCTTGTGGGAAGGGCAAGGGCTGCTGCCGCCGGGGCCCTGGTTCCTGCTATGTTCATATTCGGGGATTCCCTGGTGGATGTGGGGAACAACAACTATTTGCTCACCCTCGCCAAAGCCAATGTTGCACCCTATGGCATCGATTCACCTTGGGGTGCCACCGGCCGCTTCTGCAACGGCAAGACGGTGCTGGATGTTGTGTGTAAGTAGTATCTACCTAGTACTGTTTTGTCCTGCCGCCTCATCTTTTCTGCAGGCGAGCTCATTGGATTGCCATACGTGCCTGCGTTTCTGGACCCAAGCACCAAGAACGCCCGCATCCTCAAGGGTGTCAACTATGCCTCTGGTGCCGGCGGCATTCTGGACGAAAGCGGCAAGAACTATGTAGGTGATTCAAGGTAGGGTAGCCGTGTGGATTGCATTTTGATCCCCCCCCGCCCTGTCTGCAGATTGAGCGGATATCAATGTCGCAGCAGCTGCACTACTTCCAGCAGACGCTGTCGGGCCTCGTCCAGCAGCTGGGCAGTAGCGGCTGCGAGCAGCTCCTCTCCGATTCACTCTTCGCCATCGTCATTGGAAACAACGACTACATCAACAACTACTTGCTGCCGGACTCGGCCACCAGGTTCCGCTACAGCGAGCGCCAGTTCCAGGACCTGCTCCTGGCTGCCTACGCCCAGCACCTGACGGTGAGCATGTATGTGGCGCCCTCAAAGCGTGCTAAGATGGAATAAACGTGGTGTGTAGGAGCTGTACCGCCTGGGGGCGCGGAGGATGGTGGTGGCATCGCTGGGCCCGCTGGGCTGCATCCCGTCGCAGCTGGCGCAGAAGAGTAGCGACGGGGCGTGCGTGGATAGCGTCAACCAGCTCATGCTCGGCTTCAACCTCGGCCTGCAGGACATGCTGGCGTCGCTCCGCTCGCTGCTCCCAGGCGCCCGCATTGTGTACGCCGACACCTACACACCCGTTGCCGCCATGGTTGCCACGCCTGGCGCCTACGGCATGGAGAGTGTCAACCGCGGGTGCTGCGGGGGTGGGAGATTCAACGGCCAGCTGCCCTGCTTCCCCAGGCCAATCTCCAACATGTGCTCCAACAGAAGCAACCACCTCTTCTGGGACCCTTTCCACCCCACCGACGCCGCCAACGTCATCCTCGGCCACAGGCTCTTCCAGGCCCTCAAGTCCTCCTTCGGCATCGGGTCGGGGTCGGGAGGTTGATTGTTTCCTTGAGCTCTGTCAAACTTGATCTTGGCATTTCACATTGTTAAATGAACTGACTTACTACTTAGGGCACACAGCAAAATGGAGGAGGATGCGGTGGTGGTCGAAGACGTGGGTGAGGAGGAGGAAGAGGAGGAGGAAGAGGATGCTCGCGAATGGGACGAGCAGGTGCGCATGAATGGGGGTGCCGTGGAGGAGGAGCTGCTCTCACCCGCCATGTCCCTGCCCTTCCCGGTGTCGAGGCTGCGGCGGCTGATCAAGAGCGAGAACGATATAGCCATGGTGGGCATGGAAGCCATTGTGGTGATTGCCAAAGCCGCGGTATCGTGTCCGTGTCTCTCTTGATGCGATCTCTCTGTTTGTCTTGTGTATGGCGCAGGAGCTCTTCCTGGAGCAGTTCGTGGAGGATGCATTCAAGGGCATGGCCGGGGAGGACAGATCCACCCTCGTGTACAAGGACCTGTGTGAGTGGAAATTTGCCTCGTTTTGTGCTTCGGACCATGAGAGTGAGAGGGTTGCTGCAGCTTCCGCGGTGTCGTCCATGGACAAACTCGAGTTCTTGGCGGACTTCGTCCCGGACAAGGTGCCGGCTTCCAGGGCTCTCGCGGAAGCACCCTTTCAGATATCTTGATTGTCGAGAAATATATTAGGTCATGCCATTCCTTCCCAATGGGCTCGGGCTCGAGGTGGGCGGAGCGGCTGCTCGAGAGTGGCGCGCTGAGCGAGTCGGGCAGGCCGTTGTTGGGGCCCGGAGAGGTGGAATGCCAGCTGCTGGATGGAGTGGACATTGAAGTGGTGGACAGCGGGGTGGAGGGCGATCCACTTAGGTCTGGCCTCCTCATCCTCACCAATGCCCGGATGTTTTGGGTGCACCAGCACTCCCGATCCGCCTTCTTCCTGCCCTTGTCCTCGGTGTCGCGGATCTCGGCTCCCCGAAAGGGCCTCAAGTCCGTCTTCTCTTCCACCCTGCGCCTCAGGGTCTATGTGTGGACTTGTGCCAACGGCAAGCTGTGCCTCCAGGGAGCTGCTGCAGCGCACAGCTCCGTCACGCTCCTCCTTTCCTTCCGGGGCCACGCCAGCAGCTTCGACAACCTGGTGTCGCAGCTTGGAGCGGTGTTGCAGTCGAGGGCATGGGAAACTCTTCCCGCGGCCGCCGTCAACCCCTCCACAGCATCCGCGTCCACGCCCTCGTCCCACTGGAATCCATCCCGAGCTGGAGTGTCTGGCATTTTGAGAAAGGAGCAGGAGCAGTGGGAACAAACAGATAAAAACCTGCAAGAGGCCTTCCACGATCTCAACGCGCTCATGGTGCTTTCCAGTCAAACACCTCTAAGACTTGCTAGATTCTAGCCTCGTCCTTGTTGTTTCAGGGAAAAGCGAAGGAGATGGTACTACTTGCTGATAAGATGCGTGCCCGGCTCTTGACAGAAGGCTCGGCATCGGGATCACAGCAGGAGCTCCACGACTTGCTGCTGAGCGTTGGCATCGCATCGCCAGTTACCAAAGAATCAGCGGGTGCACTCTACCACCAACAGCTTTCGCGACAGGTGAGTGATTCGATCTCGTTCGCGCATGTCATGCGTCCAGCTAACTTTGGCCCTCAAGTTGGCCGACTTTGTGGGGAGCCCTCTGCAAAGCGCGGGAGGGATGCTGGCTCTAGTTGATGTCTACTGCTTGTTCAACCGCGCGAGGGGAACAGGTATACGATTGTGGCTCCCTTGTTTTTGAAATCTGGCACGTCGACAGTGGAATTCGCTTTGGCTTCGCGTAGAGCTTATATCTCCCGAGGATTTGCTCCAGGCATGTGACCTGTGGGACAGACTCGACGTGTAAGCCCAGGCTTGCCAGCCGTTCGCACTCGACTGACTTGACTTTGCCAGGCCCGTGATGCTGCGCCGCTTCGACAGTGGAGCCCTCGCCATACAAATCAAGTCCAAGAGCGATGACGAGGTACGTTTTTATTCTCCAACTAGTGCTACATTTTGTTGCAGGTGGTGGCGAGGATCATGCGTCTCGTGGGTGACTTGCGCACTGGCGTTGGTGCGAGGGAAGCGGCAAAGTGCCTGGGTGTTGCTCCAGCTCTTGCCAAGGAGCACCTCTTCTCTGCAGAGGCTCGAGGTACGCATGTAGTCTCCGCGCGCGCCCTGCCGCTGAGCCTTGTGTCGTGTTTTAGGCTTCTTGTGCCGAGACGACGGTCCCGACGGTCTCAGGTTCTACACCAATTTTTTCAAGGACGCTCAATTTCCATAAAAATAGTGTCTTCGTCCCATCAGTAGGAGTGATTGCTAGCCAGCGAGTCGATGAGAAGCTGGTAGCCATCGGGTACCGAGCCCTGCGTGGAGATTGCCTCGGTCAGCCGAGGGATGTCGGTGTCGATGTCCAGGGACTTGGAGAGGAACAGGAGCAGATGGAAATCGGAGATCCTTTGCACGTACGGCCGGCTCTTGTTGCTGTCGAGGTGGCTCCGCAGCGATTCAAAGCTGGGGAGCGTCAGCCTGTTCTCGATGGGGAAATTGCACGACAGGGGACCCTGCATGCACAGACAGATAGATAGCGCTTCAGGGGTCAGGACGAGAGAGAGAGAGAGAGAGAGAGAGGATACGCCGTCTCACCTGGTGGTCGAGGATCTTGACGGGCACAAGGAAGAGGACGTTATCAACGTCCCTGGTGTCCTTGCCCAGGATCACCACCTCCTTGTTCATCCTCGACAGCTTGGGATTCACATCCTCGGCGTCCTGAACAAACCAGCCCTCCTTCCACAGCTTGATGCACTGGTCGCTGAGCTGGAAGGACTCAAACTGGACGTCGCCATTGGCCTCGAGCTTGACCAGCGCCGTGGTCCAGGCGTCAAAGTTGCTCTCGGCGTGCAGCTGGGCAGCCTGGCGGATCTCGGCGTTGCTCAGCGTGTAGTCGGCCTTGCCCTGACTGATGGTGTGCGTGAAGATGAAACCCAGGCGCCTCATGCCCAGGCCCGCAGCGATGCCGTCGACCCGCCTCTCCTCGTCGGGGTCTCGCAGCAGGAGAAGGCCGTCCTCGCTGCCCTGCTGCGGAGGCTCGTAGATGAAGTGGACCAGGGCATCCCCTTGCTCCGTGACGCTGCCATACATGAAGCCACCCCGCTTGACGCCGAAGGCTAGCGTCTCGTGCACGTAGTGTTGGAACGCGTTGGCCGCCGCCCTATCGAAGCTGAGCGAGTTGCAGTGGGCATGCTGCTGCCGCTCCACCCTCGTCTGCCTGGCGATGAGGTCGTCCATGGTCATCTTCTTGCCAAACGCCCCCGACGGCGTCACCTTTGGGCCGGCCACCTCCCGCTTCCCGCTGTAAAACAGAAACACAACGGATCCGTGCCCGATACCTAGCGACGACAGCGCAGCCGAGGGATCCCTCATGTCCGCCGCCATGAGCGCAGCGCCACTGGGATCCTTGGCCATGAGCAGGGACTGATTTCTCGACACATACTGGGCGCTCACCGGGACCTGGAGCTCCCGCTCGATAGCCATCTGCAGCTCCAGCACCGTCGCCTTGGGGTGAACGCTCACTCTCTCCAGCCCGTCGCGGCTGCGGATGCGCACCACCGCTGCCGCCATCACCACCAAACTCCTTTTTTTTAGGGCTTGACAGGCAAGACCATGGCTGTCATGGCATGCCATCGCTTTGGAGTGGAGCTGTGGAAGGAGCAGAGACGGGAATGGAGGCGGAGGGCATGCCCCAAGCCGTCACGCAACCGCAAAAGGGGGAGTCGAACCATCAAGTTGGCTCTGGTTCTTCTCCACTTTGTTTGATTGGCCTCACCTAGTCTGTTGATGGCAGCTGGAACGAGACTTGCCACATCTTGCAAGCCGAGGAGCCACGCCATTTCTCGCGACCCGTGCCGCTGGCGGAGATGGTGGAGTTTTTGACCGGCCTGTGGGAGGTACTATCAGCCAAGGCCCAGGAGGAGGCCAAGGAGCGCAAATAGACGTACGTACTGTGTGCCTGGACCATTGCAGCAATTTCACCTGCTCCTACTCTGATGCCACTGCCACCAGCGAAACCCCATCCAGGATGGATGCCGTCTCCTGGCTCCCACTAGCTCCCACAACGCACCATGCGCTGCAGCATGAGTGGGCTGCGGAGATATCCAGATGCAGCAACGTTGAGGAGGGAAGGGCGGTGCACGCGCGCATTGTCGCGGCTGCTAGACACACCGATGTCTACCTGTGCAATCTTGTCATTCATATGTTTGGCCGCTGTGGCAGCAGTGGTGACGCCAGGCGAGTGTTTGCTACCATCCGCCACCCCAACGACCACTCGTGGACGCTCCTCCTTGGCGCCTACATCCAAAGCGGGAATGTGGAGGCGGCCAAACAAGTACTGGACGCAATGCCGCGGCCAAACGTGGTGGCCTGGACGCTGCTCCTCCAAGGATATGCCGACAAAGGGCACCTCGAGGCTGCTAAGGCTACCTTCGACGCTATGCCAGAGCCCAATATCATAAGCTGGACGGCGATGCTGGCCTTGTATGGCAGCAATGGCAACGTCGAGGCAGCTCACCTCATGTTTGATGGAATGCCACAGTACAACTTGGTGTCGTGGAACGCGCTTTTATTTGCATATGCCGCATCAGGGCATGGTGAGAAAGCAGAGCGCCTGTTCAATGCCATGCCGGAGCACAACCTGCAAAGCTGGTGCAGCATGATGAGTGCGTTCAACGAGGCGGGGAACGGGGAGCGTGCTGCCGCGCTCTTCCAGCAAATGCCGGGCAGGGATGTGGTAGCGTGGAACAGCCTTCTGCGTGCCCGCATTGTGACGGGGGACTTGGACGCCGCCAAGACCACTCTGGTGCACTATATGCCACAGCACAACCTAATCTCTTGGAACACTTATATGAGTGGTCTCGCGCAGCATGGCGCGGCTGGGGGTGGCACTGCTGCTGCTGCTGCCATTCTGGACGAGGCCGCCGGTGTGTTTGATGCCATTCCGGAGTGGAACGTGGTCACCGTAAACTCGATGCTTTCTTGCTATTCTCAGGCCGGGAGGCTGGGCGACGCCAGGCAGCTGTTTGACTGCTTGGGCGGGAGGCAGGACTTGGTACTGCACACGACAATGTTCGTGGCGTATGCCCAGAGAGGGCATCTGGAGGAGGCCAAGGTGCTGTTTGACAAGCTGCCCTATTGCAGCCTGGTGTCATGGAACGCAATGGTGGTGGCTTACGGGCAGAGCGAGGACGTCCATGGAGCGCATCGCCTCTTTTCCCAGGCGCCACATCGCAACGTCGCCACCTGGAATGCGCTCTTGAGTGTGTATGCCCGAAACGGGCATCTGTGGGCAGCGCGGGCCTTGTTCGACGTCATGCCCGCCCGTGACTTGTTGTCGTGGAACACCATGCTGGCGGCGTATGCGCACCTGGGCGGTGACGACGAGTGCGAGCGAGGCACGGAAGTGGTGACAAGCATGGCCTGGGAGGGCACGGCGCCCGACGAGGTGAGCTATCTGTGCCTCCTAGTTGTGTGCAACCACTTTGGGCTGCTTCACACCGGTTGCCGCTACTTTGCGTCCATGGCGAGCGACTACGGATTGCAGCCGGGCAAGGAGCACTACAGTGCGATGGCAGGCATCCTGGGGCGACTGGGGCTGGTGCACGAGGCGGAGGGGCTCATCACGCTCATGCCCTGCGCCGCCGACGCCGTGTCGTGGACAGCTCTGCTGGGCGCTTGCCACATCCACCCCAGCCGCCAGCAGCTGAGGCGCGCCCACGAAGCTGCCAAGAAGGTTGCGGCGCTGGAGCCCCACAGCGTGGCGCCGCACATTCTCCTGTCCGCCATTGCTGCTCCTCACGAGTAAAAGGAGCGAGCAAGAGTTTAGGGTTTGTGTTGGCCGCCCTAGGCTAGGTAGGGGAGTGGAACAAGCGCCGGCTCGCGGGTAAGCTCAATCGTGGAGGGAGAGGAGGGAGGAGGGGCGATGCCGTCGATATCGCCGGGGCAGACGTCGTCGCACGCGTGCGTCCAGTTCCTGAATTCGGTTCTGTCGCGCCCCAACGCGCTGCCGTACGAGGAGGAAGTGAAATGGTCCATCCGGCAGCACCTGGTGAACGTGATCCAGCACTTCCCGGGCCTCCAGGCCCGCACAGCCGGCTTCACGCACAACGATGGCCGCCAAGCCAATCTCCTCCAGGCGGATGGCACCATTCCCATGTACTACCAGGACGTCAAGTACAACATCCCCGTTACGATCTGGCTCACGGAGCCGTATCCCCGCAAGCCGCCGCTCGTCTACGTGAGTCCCACACGGGACATGATCATCAAACCTCGCCATCGCCTGGTGGACGCCTCGGGGATGGTCTCGGTGCCTTACTTGCAGCAGTGGGTGTTCCCGCGTTCCAATCTGGTGGAGCTTGTCCAAAATCTCAGCTTGCACTTTGGTCACGACCCTCCGCTCTACTCGAGGCCGTCCACACCCGTCCCGTCTCCACAGCAGCAGCAGCAGCAGCAACTCCAGCAACAAACGCAACCCCAGCAGCAACCACAGCAGCCGTTCCATGGAATGAATCCAATCTACAGCAGCAACTCTCCACCACCTACGTCGGCGGCGCCCATCCCGTATCCTCCTCCCTACTATCAGCAGCAGCAGCAGCAGCAGCAGCCGTCGACTCGTACAGAGGACCCGGCGTCCGTGTTTAAGAGGAACGCTGTCAACACTTTGGTGGCACGGGTGCAACAGGATGTGGTAAGCTTGCGGAGCTCGTTCGAGGTAGAGATGGACGAGCTTTTTAGCGTGCAAGCGTCTCTGAACAAGAGAGCCGAGCAGCTAGGCAAGCACTTACAGGAGCTCCAGCACGAGAAGGAGGGCCTGGAGCAGCAACTGCAGCTGCTGCTTACCAACACGGACGTGCTGGAGACGTGGCTGCAGTCCAACGACGGCCCCAACGCGTCGGGCGACATGAACATAGACGAGGCGTTCGAGCCTTGCGACGTGCTGTCGAGGCAGATGTTGGAGGCGAGCGCCGAGGACCTGGCGATCGAGGACGTGCTCTATTCTTTGGACAAGGCAGTGCAGGAGGGGGTGATCACGGCGGAGGTGTACCTCAGGCACGTCCGGATGCTGGCGCGCGATCAGTTCTTCTACCGAGCTACTTCAGCCAAAGTGAGGACGGCACAGATGCAAGCACAGGTTGCTGGCATGGCAGCCCGGGCTGCTCCTCCGCCCTACGTCTCCTCGTGAGGCCGTGCCGTATAGGAATAACAGGGAGGTGGTGGTGTATTTATGTTTATTTGCTGGGATCCATCCAGACGAGACGCAGAGTGGCGGAGGCAGTTCGTTTGTGCATAATTACCTATGATAATCTGATTCAATATTGCGATTCACCACAATGCACAGTCAATCGGACTTGCAACTCTGGTAGACTTGCGGTTTGAGTACTCCCACGTATGGGAGGTTTCGGTAGTGCTCCGCGAAATCCATGCCGTAGCCCACCACGAACCTGTCCGGGCACTGTTTTACAGAGTGTATTTAGACTGGATTTTGGTCGCAAAACACACCTGGAAGCCAGCATAGAGCCTGCCGTTGCTGGGGAGAGTGAGGCCGACCCTCCGCCGGCATACCTTGTCCAGCAGCGCACACACAGAGATGGAGGCAGCTCCCCGCTCCAGCAGATGGTCCACCAGCGCGGACAAGGTGACCCCCGTGTCGATGATGTCCTCCACCTTTGCGTATGAGAATGGTTATAGCTTTAGCTATGCAAGAGCCGGCTTACCAGGAGGATGTGCTTGCCTTTAACGTTGATCTTGGCGTCGCACGACGAGACGGTGGCCACGCCGCTCGACTGCGTGTTGTTGCCGTAAGACTGCACCCGGATGAAGTCTACGAGGACGGGCAGCTTGAGATGGCGAGCCAGGTCGGCCACAAGCATGAAAGCTCCGGTGGCCACCTGCACACGACGACAGTCATTCTCTACAAAGTTGGCTGCTTCCCTACCCCGAGAAGAAGCAGAGGGGTGTGGCTGGCCAGGTCGCGGGAGATTGCGGCCGCCAGCTCCTTGACCCGCTGCTCGATGTCCGCCGCCGTCCACAGGACTTGCTCAATGTCCGACTCCATTGTTTAGGTTTGCTGCGCTGCCAAAATATCTGGTAACCAAGAACAAGGAAAGATATGTCTCTTGTTCCGCCGCTGCTGGTGCCGCTGCTGCTTGTGCAGCTACGACTAGTATTTGGCAGTGCAGGGACGTGTCAAGCCCACATTCGAGACGACATCAGCTCCTTCCAGTCTCCAGGTTTTTAGTGTGTTTTATTATATGGCTTTGAGACGAGGCCCTTCCCTCCCAGCGGACTTGCCAGGATTCACCCGGAGCGTGTACCAACGGGACCATGCGCTTATCACACCCGAGAGCCAAGTCTTCAGTGCTCTTCCCGGATGGTCTGCAATTGCCTCCTCTCTCCTCTCTCTCCCATCTCATCACTGTTTCCATCACGTTTCTAGGACCAATGCTCAAGCAGCTTACCTGGTCACGCCAGCGATTGGCTCGCATTTCACCATGTACATTGCACGCATGGAAGGTAAATTCATGAATCATGTCCATGCCTCACAGCTGATAACGTGTGTCTCGGCCTCAGCTTCCTCATCTTCGGCCCCTCCCTTACCGGGTGTTGAGAGGTACGCAAGAGTAACATTTAGGGAGAGACGTCTAAACATCAAACCGCAGGCTTGTCTTTGTCCTCGCGGGCAGCGTTCTCTTGACCACGCACAATGTGATGAATGACGACAACGAGCTCTCGGTATTTTCCCGTCGCTAGTAGTACTTCATTTCCACTGTGTATGGTGATTTGTGCGCAGGTGAACTCGTATGCGTATCTCCCACCACATTTTAACCACACCCTCTACTCAACTGCGCCTGTAACCTTTCTCGTCTTGGAACGCAGGCGGGTCTCCCTTCTTCCTTGAATGACCGAACAACATGTCGTCGTGGTTTGCAGGTATTTTGCATCACAAGCCCTCGACAACCAGCGTCCCCAATTCCTCGTTGGAAATGTCGATGATCGTCCTCTTCTTGAAACTCCCGGGGAGGTAAGCAGCTACACCTTGCAAGCTTAACACACTGTAACTTTTCTGAGTTTCCAGGTTTTTGATCTGCGAAAGTTGCTACCCTCGGACGCAATCTACGACTTCAATGTCCATGTAAGTGTCAAACTTTCATGTCGCGTGTAACAACGCAAGAACGTTGACCTGCTGGTCACAGATTATGGATTTCCAGCCTGGAGAGTACTTGAACGTCAAGGCAAGTTTTGGATTCCCTATGTTGCTACGCTTACCGTGGCGATGACACTCAGGAGGTTCACTATTTTCAACACGGCTTGTTCCTGCTCGAAGGTCGGGGGATCTACCGGCTCAGCAATCAGTGGTAAAACAGTCCCTGCATCATCTCCATTCTCTCCATCTGTCTATACTGCAGGTATCCCGTTCAAGCAGGCGATGCCATCTGGATGGCTCCATTTGTCCCACAATGGTAAACCTTTGCCTATGCACCGTGTTTATATCGAAGTCTGGATGTTAAACAAAACAGGTATGGAGCGCTCGGACGGACGAGGTCCCGATACTTTTTGTACAAAGATATCAACAGAGATCCTCTCCTGCATCCTTACGGCTACTGAGAGAAAGAATGTGGAAAAAATGTCCCGTCCATGATATCTAGTCGTGTTTCAGAATCCACCTGGACTCCCCACCATCCTTGTTCAAGGTCGCTATCTCATTCAGCAGCTGCCTGAAAAGCGGTAGCTCCGCTTGTGACAGCTTCAGCTTGAAGTGCTGAACGACTGTCGTCGACAGTGCACTCCCGCCGTGGCTCCTCAGAAACCTCTCAAGCTCGCTACGTAGTGCCTCTCGTTTGCTTTCGACCGCACCTGCTTGGCGTTGCCTCATCTGAGCCAGGAGCTCGACCGAGCTGAGGGCCCTGCTGCTAGATGCACCTGGCGTCCCCGGGGGTGGCGCAGGAGACATCAAGCGAGAATTCACGGCAGCTCCAAACCTCCTCCGTCCACCACCTGGAGCCCCAGCAGCGCCTGAGTTCCCTGTCCACGTGGGAACAGCCACGTCGTCTCGCATTCGTATTAGCCGAGACTGCTGGAGAGCTTCGGCAGCTCGTTCGGCCACCCTGCTCGCTTCAAAGTCCACCTTCACCCGTTCGGGATCGTTGACAGCCAGGATTGCATCGTGGTCCATCGCAGACTAAAGCACACACACGTTAAACCTGGAGACTTGGAAAATGAACTTACGTGTATTCCGTTGGCCTGCATCAAGCTCTGCAGAAGCCTGGACTCATCCGCACCATCTTGCTCGTCTCTTGTGATTTGGTCACCTTCCTCGCCACCATGTGCCGCTTCTTTGCCGTCGCTTTCAGCCGCAGCGGGAAGCTTTAACTCTGGAAACAAGTTCGATGTCTCCGTTTTGTCTCCCTCCGCATCTTCGTGCAGCACGAACAAATCTCGCATGTCTTTGGACTTGAATACACGCCGTTGTTGGGGATCCCGGAGGATTTTGTTCGTCAAAAACTGCTTGTATATTTGGCGATGGTACACCTTCTCTTCAATCGTTCCCCTGGTAATTAGACGGTAAACAATAACGTCCTTTGTCTGCCCGATTCTCCAAGCCCTTTCTCTAGCCTGTTGAAGAGAAAGTCGGAGCAAGTTATTGAAAGGACTAGCCATACCTGCATGTCAGTCGAAGGGTTCCAGTCCGGATCGAAAATAATAACTCTGTTCGCACCAGTAAGATTGGTTCCCAGGCCCCCGACTTTGGTAGTTAATAGGAAGACGAAAACATGTGAAGACTCGTTGAATTCGTCGATTAGAGCCGGCCGCTGCTTCACAGATGTGGAGCCATCCATTCTCCTGTATGTATACCCCTGTGACTCTACAAAGATCTCAACGATATCCAGCATCTGTTGCGTCTGGCAGAAAACAAGTACTCTGTGCCCCTGATCCTTCCACGAGTTGAGGACCTGACTGACCACCATCAGCTTCCCACTTCGATCTGGTAGGCCGTAGTCGGCATGCTTCTCGCTGGCCTCCCTCTCCAGAAGATCAGGATGGTTGCAGATCTTCCGCAGTATGTCAATGCCGTAGAGTGCGTTCTTGCTCCCCTCGAAAATGCGTTCCACGTCTGAGCTTGCTAAGAAGGCACGGTAGCAGGCGCGCTGCGTCTCAGTCAGGCTACAGAAAAGAACGTGCTCCGTCTTCTTGGTGAGCTTGGCTTCAACATCGGACTTCATGCGGCGGAGAATGTAAGGCATGATCAGATCCCGAAGGGTGACGGCACACTTGTAGGCAGTGGAGACCTGCAACGATGTCGCATTTGCATAGCCACCGATGGATATAGGTAGAGCAAACTGGGCCTGGAACACTGGAAGGACTCCCAGCTTTCCGGGGAAAACGAAGTCGAAGAGAGACCACAGCTCTGTAAGCTTGTTTTGTATAGGAGCACCGGTCATGATAATGCGGTGAACAGTCTGTAGCTGCTTGCAGATGAGAGTTGTTTCAGCGTCTGGATTCCTTATCCTGTGCCCTTCGTCCAGTACCGCATAGCCCCAGTCTATGTCCAGCAGTGTATCTTTCAGCAACCGGAGCTGCTCATAAGTCGTCACAATGAGACCAGAAGGCGACCGGACAGTTTTTTCTACAACCCCGTCCCAACGAGCTAGTCTTGCATCACGCTTCGCGTCGCCACTGTCATCTCCGCTTGCATCGGAATCCTCCGCCTCCTTCTTCTTCCCTTTCGGAGCAGCCGACTCGTGCACAACTTGCACGTCGAACTTGGGATACCACTTTTCAACCTCCCGCTTCCACTGGAAAGTTAGTGTCACGGGACAGACGACAATGCTGGGCGAGTACATCCGACTGTGGTGTAAGGCAGCCAGAAATGCAATGACCTGTACCGTTTTGCCTAGTCCCATCTCATCGCCTATGATCCCCCCTGTTTTTAGAGAGTGCAGTTCCCACAGCCACTTGACTCCAGTTTTCTGATAATCGAAGAGCCTGTCGTAGATATCTAACGGAATCCTGAGCCCTCCTTCCAGGATCACGTCGTCGTCGCATTCCTCATCATTAACGTCGTTGTCGTCGCCATCTAAGTAAGCCACGAACGAGTTAATAAGATGAGATGACACGAGAAAGATGGCATACCGTCGTTGTCATCTGCTGCCAGCTCTGGTAGCTTGTGAGGCTTTTTCCGCCTCCACTTGGACTCAGGCAGCGGCCGCTTGCGCTTCTTCCTCCTCCCAACGTCAAGTGACTTTGGAGGCCTTCGAAACTCACGCGTCGGCGCCTCGAGCGTTGGGAGCTGGGCCGGATCGAGCAGCTTGGTGGTTGCTCGAGAGCGAGATATTGCGGCCAGCGACGCGACGGCATTAGAGAGGCTGGTCTCGGCCAATCGGTCCCGCTCCAGCGACTGTCGATCACTTAGCGTCTGTACTCGGCGCTCGAAGCCTTTGATCCTGTCAAACGGCGTCAGTGCCCCGGTGCGGATGAGCCTGTCACGCTCCTGGAAAGGCAAGCGTCCCCCGTCGGTGATGGAAAGAAAAACTTGAGCTTAGTTACCCACAGTCTCAACAAGCCCAGAGGCTGCGTCCAGAGCTGCGTCGAGGTCGTTGTCTTCCAGGAGGCAAGAGCGTTGTTCTTGTGTGGAAGGTGACGCTCCATCCAGAGACTTCAATCGGGCTCGCAGCTTTTTCTTCTTGGAGTTGAGAGAGTGGAGACGGTCGTGCGCGAGAGTGGTGTGGAGCTCACCACCGTCCTCTTCATAACGCTCCAGACCATTCTCCACAGCGTCAATCTCCTTCTGCAAGACAGTCAATTGCTTGGCAATAGCCTCCGGGTGCTCGCCCCCGCCGCCGCCATCAACCTAGCAAAGCAAACAGTCTCGAAAGGCCGTAGGTAGCGGAAGAAGGATCACACCTGGTGGTGCTGCGCAGCAATGACATGGCGCTCGACGTCCTCAGCTCGTGCAGCCGTCACGCCCAGCCGCTGCAACAGCTCCTCGTCCTCCTCCATCGCCAAAAAGACCAAATGCCACTAAGCCCTAGAGGGCCCTTACTTTGTTATTTAACAGTGAAAGATGAAAAAGCCAAGCCAGGGCGTCTTTCGTGATTGTCTCGCTTTCCGTGCGGTGCGGACTTACTAAGACTCTTCGACCTTGGATTCCGCAGTCTTCTTGCCACTAGGGGGCGACGAAAACATGAAGTAAACTGCACAAGCCACAGCAACAAGGCCAGCTCCCATCGCTATGCTCTTGGTGGGCAGGTCCGGGTCTGCCTTTGGCACTCGTTCTTCCTGGGCAGCTGTGGATGCTGAGGATGCCGCAGACGAGGCCTCCTCCTCGCTTGCCTGCCCACCAGTGAGGAGTGAGGATTGATTGATTGTCAATGCAGCAGCACGCAGCAGCACTCACCTTCATGCGGGCTTTTTCGAGCTTTTCCCTCTCCATTCTCTGATCATACATGATCAAAGCGACATGAGGACATTTTGGCCAGAAACAAAGCAAGCAAACCTTTATATACATGTTTTCCGCCGCCTTCTCCTCCTCGCTAAGCACGCCTCGCGTGTCGGCATAGGTCCGGCGGATCAAGACGCCCCCTCCCGTCAAGCGCTGCGCAGCTCGCCTCATCATCATCATCGTCGTCGTCGGCGCCGCTCGCTTCTCTCAACTCTCCCTAGGTCTAGAAGCAAGGAGAAGACCTAAAACGCAAAAAGGAAAGGAAAATGCAAAGGGAAGGGGGGTATATTCCTTGGCGGCTGGGAATGGAGGCGTGAACAGGAGGAGCGAGCACAGGGGCGAATCTTTCCAGCATTGCCGGTCACTCTCACAGCAATCAGCAATGTGTGCCAAATCCGGGCGCTGAATGCGGCGGCGATGAGAGAGTTCTAGGGTAATTTGCAGAGGAGGTAGGGCGCGGCCCTCGCGTCGCGCAATCTGGCCTGGAGCGGCGGTGGCACCGGCCGCAGCTGGTGGGCAAAGGTTGGTCACAGGAAGTTGATGGCATGGAACGCGTTCAAGCTTTGCACCGGTCTCCGGGTCGTGGGATCCGTCATGATCCTGGTGGTTCTGGCCGTTGTCTCCGTCTCCTACTACGCCATCGTCGTCGCCAATTACGGCCCTGATCTGTTCAAGGCTGGATATCACGCCCCGGTTGCCGCGCTCGTCATTGTCGCCTTCCACCTCCTGGTAACAAGAATCCTTTCTTGCATTGAGTGTGCATTCCATAGCTCAGAGCTTTCTTCGATGCATCAGCTGGCAATGGTCCTCTGGTGCTATTTTGCAGTGGTGTTCACGGATCCAGGGAGCGTCCCCTCGGACTGGAAGCCCGCCTCCGCGAATGAGGAGGATATGGAAGCACAGAACACGCTCCTGTCATCGCTGCCCGCCAACTCGGCCGCAGTCCTGACCGCGCCCACCACCCAGATGAGCACCAGCCTCGACAGCCCCAGGATGCGCTTCTGCCGGAAGTGCTGCCAGTTCAAGCCTCCGCGCTGCCACCACTGCTCCGTGTGTAAGTCATGCCCATGCGCCTCAAACTCTTTCGCTAACTTGCCAGTGCCATGCAGGTGGACGATGCGTCCTCAAGATGGACCACCACTGTGTCTGGGTTGTCAATTGTGTTGGTGCTCGCAACTACAAGGCGTTTCTACTTTTCCTGGTACGACGGGTGCCAATCATCCTCCTCTGCATGTTGACGTCTGGATATTGTGCAGTTCTATACATTTCTTGAGACATCACTGGTGTCGCTCTCGCTACTACCACACTTCATTGCATTCTTCACAGATGCTGATGACGAGCCTGCTCTTCCCGGGACACTTGCGACCACCTTTCTCGCATTTGGTCAGTCGTTGCGGTTTCTTTCTCATTCTGAAACTCGCCCTTTTCCTCTTGGCTTCAGTCCTAGATCTGGCCTTTGCACTCAGCGTACTTGGTTTTCTCATCATGCACATATCTTTAGTCGCTGGAAACACCACCACCATTGAGGTTAAAGCATAACTTCCTTTCCAAGTGTTTCCTGCTCAATGCTGTTGCCGCAGGCTTACGAGAAGAAAGCAACTGCAAGATGGCGCTATGACCTTGGGCGTAGAAAGAATTTCGAGCAGGTAGGCAGGTTTGCATTTGTTTTGGATTGCAAGAGCTTCACCTCCGTTGGCAGGTTTTTGGCACAAAGAAATTGTTTTGGTTCCTTCCCATGTATGCGGAAGAGGATGTTAGAAGAATGCCAGTGTTCAAAGGGCTAGAGTATCCTGTGAGATCGGATATGGAAGGCCAGGAGTTTTGAATCAAAAGGCACTTTGTATTTACCGACTGCTCCTTTAATTCAACAACACGCGCGCGCGCACACCCAGCAGCTCGCTCGACCGAGACAGTTGGTATGCTGCGGTTCTTTTTATCTACACTGGAACTTACAAGGCTGTTTGTGCTCAAGCCTGACATGTCCACAGGTGGTTGATGCTGGGATCTGGAACAAATGGTGGTAGCCAATCCGCATCAAGAGTGTCGGCTGAGATGAGGCTCGGTACAATGTCGATATCGTGAAAGCGGCCCGAGTTTCTTCCGAGGCCGAATGGTTGAGCAGAAGCAGCAGCCACAGCAGCGGCGGCGCCAGCGTGGGGTTGAGCCGGGGAGAGAAGAAGATGGTGATTGAAGTTGGAGGTGGTGGAGGAGTGCCGCTTGCGAGGGGTGAGCTCCACGCATCCGTCCGGGATCCAGGAGTCATCACACAGATCGTTGATGCGGTTGTTGCCCGTGAGGCACTGGACCAGCGTGCGGAAGTTCTCGGCATCGGTGCGGAAGATCCTCGGGGAGAAGATGTGCACTACCTTGAGTGGCTGCGCTCCGGCTGGCGAGGAGGGGCGAGAGGAGCAAGGGGAGGAGGAATCCATGGCGAAGAAAGGAGAAGAGAGAAGGGGGATTGATTGGTTTCCGAATGTTTAGACGTGTTAATATATACAAGCAGGGTGATTCTGCGCTTGTTCGTAGCTTTGACTGGGGTGCCTCAGTGCGGGGGTATAGCCCAACGTCATACGAGGTGGATGGATACTTCGATGCATGGAAGATTGGAATGTGGGGCTCACGCGCTGGACCGAACCCCCCGGGAAAGTGGATCGGGATACCCAGACAAACGCTTTGAGGCGCACCGTACCCCCATCGCTCTGGTCAAAAGATGGCCATATATCAAATACAAAACCTATGAGCACGACAAGGAAAACAACACTCTTTGACAAGGACCCCGGTCAAGCCTTTGAAACTTCAAGACACCTTCTTTTTCCTCTCTCTCTCTCTCTCTCTGCTCTTTTGCCTCTTCTTTGTCTTCGTCATGGCTTGATTTGATTGATTTCGATCCCCTGGCTCTTTTCTCTTTTCCTTTCGACAATAACAAATGTCGCAACTATAACACCCACGCGTTAGCGTAGAGAAAAGAACGGTATGTCGCGTCGCCAAAGAGTTTCAGCACAGGAAGTCGAGGCTGCCTGGCAAGATCCCAAACTCGGCGGGAAGAAAACCAAGATGCTCTCCATCAGCCTGGACAAACACGCCGTCATCTCCACTCTCGTTGTCGGCCTCCTTAATCTCGATGCTCTTCACTCTGAAACAAAGCCACCTTCAATCGACAAGCCGATGGTGAGACATAGACCTACTTGTCGAACCGCCACGTATTGTTCAGTTCGAGAAAAGTGCCCTTGTACAGCTTGAACAAGTGTATCACAAAGTGGTACCACTGAAAGTGTTGCAAAATGGTCACCTGCGAGCGCATCATCTCTCCTCCACTGTTACATCTTTGACCCCGTCGAGGGTCACACACATACCTCAAGATCTCCACTGTAAGGATCCGCTGTTGGCGTGATTTTCATGCCGCCGCCAAAGTACTTGCCATTTCCAATTGCAATGGATGTAACTCTTGAAAAACGTTTCCACTCCTCTCCGTTGATCTGTGTAACAAGAAAAAAACTTTGAGGAAAAGAAAACACAAAAAGTTATTTACCCGGATATCAAGGTCGCGATTCTTGTGATGCATGAACGCCTGCAATGCCCCTATCACATAAGACAAGTTTCCCAGCCACTTATACTTAGTGGCATGGTATCCGGCCTGTGCGCTCCTGTCAAGCACGGTAAGCAAGTGCCGGGAAAGCAAAGAGCAGACATACAAATGAAGTGCTCCAACGTTGATGAAATGATGTCGGTTTCCACCAACAGAAACGTAGCCAGTGTCAATGCGTCGATGGTCTCCTAGTAAAGTT